GGAAAATATTCGGACAAAACAACTATTTGCTTTGAAATTCGCTTCAATCTCAAAATCCATTATTCGCGCGTGCTCATAAATTTTACATAAATACAATCGAGTCCAATTACACTGAACTCGGGTATTGTTAATGTGAAACATTCAAAACACCTCTTTGAATATCTTGCATAAAGAATAGGCTCCTTCTGACAACACTTTGTCCCCGGACATTAACAATAATTTTGGTATATCAAACTATTGACATCTGGAATGACTTTGCAACCCCCTTTGAATTCAACATAACTGAGATGAGTTTGAGTGTATGAATCTGCACACGTGCCGTTACCTCAGCACGTCATTTATGTTACGTGACGAGTGATTCCACCACCAAAAGAGTCGGTGTGACAGGCAATGCACTGATGGTGACTAGACGCTTAACTAGATCATTTAGCACTCATCAATGTCTTTTGAGATTATACAGTACCCATGTGCGTTCGAAACTAGAATTTGCATCTGTATTGTGGAACTCCATCTCTATAACAGCAAGTGACAGTATAGAACATGTACAAAAGCAATTTGTGCGCATAATTTACGACAAATATATTTTGGAAGAAAGTGTTTTTATGAATATAAATCGATTTTAGCAAAATTAACATTGAGCACCTTATGTAAAAAAAGGTCTGTTCGGGATGTACAGTTTTTACATAGGCTTATTCAAAATGCATTAGACAGCCCTACCCTCTTCACCTCTGTTCAGTTTCGCATTCCACTTAGAACAAACTCTAGAAATCCGAGAGTATTTTACCCAAACCTCACTCGAAACGCATCACCGGTTTCGCGAATCCAACATGTTTTAAACACGCAATTTACTGACGTCAATATTTTTAGTACAAACCTGTTTTTTGGAGAACAATCATTTTGATGAATGTGTTTTTAATTGGCAAGCGCCCAGTGAGTAGGCAAGGGCCCACTCAAACTTTGGAGATAATCGCAAAACAATGGGGGATGGGTGCTTGTCCGGTCATCAATTTTACATATAAATGTACTGTGCTCATTTTCTCAGATCTCACAAATTTGATAATGGCCGTTTAATGTGGAATGGGCGGATGCGTGGTATTCTACGGTAGACATGTTTGTGTGCTTGCATGTTTTTCAGAACTCTCTATTTTGTGTGTATTTCAAGTGTGTGTGCTTAACCCAGTAGGCTTTCGAGCTGTTGGTTAGCACAAGGGAAAAAACAAACATTGATTGATTGATTGACACTACCACAGAATCCCAGTAGTCACTAAAAAATTATAAAATGAAGAAGCCATATAATCGTTCCACAACCTGCATGCACTACTTACATATAACTGGAGCTATGACTCCCCGTCTCAACAATGAAACACCCGTCTCCATTTCCATGTCTATTTGAGAAATTGTTTCCCGCATACAGTGCAATCCACTCGTAACGATAATGAGAAAACCCCAAGATTCAATCATTATAACCAATTATCGTTGTATCTGAACTAGAAACTGAGCATTTCTATTCTTGAAACTATAGAAACTGGATCGCTATAAGCAGTACGACGTTATATCTGGTATCGTTATAAGTGGATTGCCACTTTAGTATCCATGCACTCCAAACAAAACTGGTATTTCGCAGGAAAAAAAAAGCACGTGGCTGAAGTGGGTATAAATATGAAATTCAACAAACGACAAACAAAAAAACATTGAAAAACATTAAGCGTGAAAAGTAAGTGGCATTCCAGTGCATGAAGTGCGAGTAAAGCTCGGTGTATTACCCTCTCCAATGGCAACAGCACCTCTCAAGTTGCTGGATGGCAGACTTGCGGTGTTAAGCATTACGTGAGGGGCTCACTTTTCCTTTTGGCACTAATCTTTAAAATTATTAATGAACGCAAAATTGAAGCCAAAACAAAATGCTTAGAACGAATTGTTCAACCTTTACTTTTCTTAATATTGTTGATACTGAACACGCCTTAAAGGGCAACTCCGCTCAATTACAAAAAATTTAAGCTTACATGTGATTCCATTTCACAAAGCACTACTAAACAGCTCTACGTCTTCGGATTCGCGAAATGTGCAATATTATTTGTGTAATCTTAATTTAAACATCAACTGATACCGAAACCGAAACTTCTGTTGCGTCAGGCAACATTGGTCTCATGTCGCCAGAGTCATGACCACGTCACGTCGAACCACGTGGTCTTGTGACGGGGGGGGGCGAGGGACAGGACACGCGGTGCGGGCAGGTCGCTTCGCATGGCATGGACGGTGACGGCTCGGGGGAGAGGGAGAAGGGGAGAAGACGAAAGAGGAGAGGGGGAACGGAGAAACAGATCTATAGCGCGCAGGGCAGTGCAAACTAGCGCATCCGCGTTACGGTGATCACGTGGACGCCGTTCAGCCAACACCGGGAGGAGAAACTCATGACGTCATCGTTCAATTTCGCTCTGAGAAGTAAGAACAAACAAAATGTGAGAATGACGTAGTCATGCCTCTGACGTAGTGGTTCAACGTTGGCCGCTCCAACTCCGTCGCATTGACTGCGCTGACGATTGCACCTCACGTCGCACGCTAGAGTTGGCAGATTTCGGCGACTTGGCTCACTTGAAGGTTTGCTGGCCAGTTTATTAAATATATACAGTATAGACCACTTACAACGTAACCGCTTATAGTGCAGGACCGGGTATAATGTGGCTTTTTCGCCTCCCATAGAACTGCATGTAATTACATACCGCTTAAAATGCAGGCGCGCGAAGGGAAATACCGGTCATAGTGCGGTTTCTGGAACAACCCGCCGACTGCGCCGGACCGGCGTGCCGGCGCAGCGAGCACGCTTGCCTGTGCGACACTAGCTAGCTGCAAGCGGCACTCGCGGGGCAAGGAGGTTGCTCGAAGAAGCGGGGAGAAGCGAAGAGAGAGGCTTCAGTTGCCATAGCGACGCATGTGCGTGCGTCCCTCCGCTGCGTTGAAAACAACCGCAATGACAGACCAATCGTAGGTCAAGGAGAAGTGCTCGCGCGCGTTGCATGCCGGTTGCGGCCCGGCTTCTATCCGCAAACATGGCGTCGGTTGTGGTCGTCGACGTAGACAGAGTGGTGGAAGCAAAACGTTCCTTGAAAAGCACTATCCTTGACTGTGAATTTTCGTTGTGTGTTGCTATGATAACCCAGCACGTACTAGAAGGGAAGATCTACCTACTCGTGCGGCGATGTCGTGGCGGCACTCTCAAGACGGCAGAAACACCCGTGTCATTGTGTTTGTTTACTTCGACTGCAGTGGTACTTTCTAAGCATTTGTGTTTTCGAACATTGCCCGGATTTCTTATTTGGAGCATTTCATGCCTGTGCTAAAGTTGAAGGTATTACTGGCGCGTACCGTATAAAGGATGCAAATTTTCACGCGTTTGCATCACCGGAGAAAAGCAATCCACAACCCGCGACGCCGTTAAAAGGCTGTGCCAGGCAAAAGTCGCTCATTTCTTTCAAAATGTGTGACACACTTGAGAGAGAAATGTACTAGTCTGGTGAAATAAAGACTTTCCTCAAACTAAGCTTTATTTTTCACGTAACATAAAATAAATTCTTTTACAAAGGTAAGTTGTCTCATGGCATGTATTTTGGCCTGAAAAATTGATGTTTTGGTTATAGCGCGGTACCGCTTATAGTGCAGATTTTCGAGACTCCCGCGACATACGTTATATGCGGTCTACACTGTAGACGGAATCAGATCGGTAATATTTGACATGGGGTCTTCCTATATGATACTGAAGAGGGCGGCATAGTTTTCTAACGATCAAAAATGGAGCGGAGTTGCCCCTTAACATTTGAAATAGGTTGAGCGAGCGTCCAGCATTAAGGGGACGTGCCGGCAGGAAAACGGTATATTTTGCCAAAAACTGTGATTTTGGGTTTCATGGTGCTTTATTACCTTGAATCTTCATATTTTACGTATAAAAATAATAAGTGCCGGTCATGATCGCAAAATTAGTTACATACGGATTTGAAGACCTCCTGGCAACCCAGGACAGCATAAATTTGAGGCATTTTTCTGCGCGTGGTTCTTCTAATTGTGACGTCACCTGCCACCATATTGATGTTGACAAGTAGGCCTAGTCGTCTGCCGTCCATTGCAGTATTTTGTAGCGTGAATTTCTCAAGGAAACTTATTAACGAAATATACTTTATCCTGCTGTGAAAGAGTATTGCTATGCATTTAGGGTAACATTTGGATGAGTGTTTCTCTTTATGTAATTTTTGGGAATCTTCAGTTTGTGCGCAATAATTTTTGTCTTTAATATGGTCTTATCACAACCAAATTTGGCATACATATACTTTAGAATATGTAGAAAGCAACCATGTATCCATGTTTAACTAGAATGTATTCTTTTTATAGTTATGATGAAAATTAAGGAAATTTTGTTAGCTCCTTGAAAATGGCATTTTGCAATTTTGATTTATTTTAAAATAAGATATGTTTGGCGGAAATTAATTTTTTGTTATTTATTGCACCGAGTAGTTTAAAAGAAGTGAATAAGATTATTTTACTAGGCTCTTTTAAGTGTGTTGCCTGCCCCACATGGGTGCAAGAACATGATTGTTTCTGCCTGTGCACGGGAACATAAAAGACAGGCTATTTCAAATCTAACATCAGCTTCATTAAATAGGAGAATGAACACTATAAACTGTAAAAATTTAATCTAGCTATCCTAAATATGAATAAAAATGTTTTCCTCTGGTGCATGTCCCTTTAGTTCATGCTGATACAATCTTTCAGCATCCTTTTTTCAAGTGCAGACTCCATCTTGTAGAAACCTCGGGATTGGTTTCGACATCAAGGCATACCACTTTTGCCAAGCTGAAGGTCGCAACTTGTTCTGTAGTTAATATTCGGTGCTTCTGGAAGACTTGTTGTTATGGCCACCTTAAATTAACAAACTACAATGGCATACCCCACAAGTTCGTACCGTCGAGTTACCTCTGAGTAAATATCTTTAAGTCAATTCAAGCCGGTACCTTTGAGAACTGCCGGAGCAGGTTGATGAGGGCTCCCTTGCCAAAGGGGTTGTTGAGGCTCGCATGGAAGGCCATGGTCGGGAAGTCCGCAGACAGGACGGCCACCCAGCGTTGCTGGAACACGCAATTTACAACTGTGTAAGTCGACCGAAATGGCATTATTTGATACAGGGACTAATTAGTAAACACCAAGCGTGTTGGTAAGATTCAATTTACGCATAAGAGCATAAACGAATAGGACACAGCACAGAGCACGACACCTTTCAAAGATGTCATGTCCTGTTCTCTGTCTGGCAACAGAAAGAATAAAACAAACTTGGGACAAGGAGCGACGAACATTCCTTCAAATGTTCGTCGTCCCTCTTCTCGAATTTGTTGTATTCTTTCTGTTGCCAGTCAATGTTACCAACACGCTCTTCAGGCAATGTTAACTGTTCTCTTTCCTATTTGTTTATTCTTTTGCGCATAAATTGACGGGAACTAAAGTCTCCGAGACCTAAATTTCCGTTTAAAAAAGATCTATGACCAAATCTTCGCGGACGAAGCAAACTGTTAAATGGCACAAATGTTGAGCCACAACAAGTAATCATGGCAGGCCTATAACGAAGCATCCGAGTAACAAGTTATTCTTAACACTAATTCCTCACGAGTGCAGTGTCAAGATGGAATAGATTACCCGACATCACTGCTCACTCTTTCGCTAACGCTCTATGGGCTACCATCTGATATAATTTGTGGACGTTATTGGCTTCTAACATATAGCCACATTCTTCTTAATGTAAGTGCCTTTTACTATATTTTTTTTATTATGTATGTTCTGTATGTAGTAGTTATGCATTTGTATATGTATGAATGTATGTACAGTCGCCGACCGATTTTTCGGATGCCGATAATTCGGTCTTGTTAGTCATTTCAACCTAAAGGAGGAACCATGACCCATACTACAGAGATATAGTGCACATCCACAAACAATGTTTCGGACTACTTGAAGTCTGAAAGTTCGATATTTCGGACAAAATCGTCACGAGCGATCAGAGTCTCTTCGACAAACCTGCCCCCATTTTACGGCGTGTTGCACCCAACGGTGGCCTTTTGAAGCGACCGCTTAAATTGATTTCTTAACGCTTACTACAAAAGTGCTCCCAGGTAAAGCATTTATTATTACAAGGTGAAAAAATAGTACCTTACCGGAGTAAGAAAAAAAAGAAGAATGTTTTTCTTTTCTGGACGAGCGCCCAGCAACAGACAGTAACAAGAAAACCGAAGAACAATTATGGCAGCTCGTTAAGACGATGACGAAGGTCAATTGCGGCATTTCTAGAACTATTACAAGCAATTTCAGACGGAGGTGTAGGAAGGTTAGTTTGACGCAAAAAGTTCTTGGGAACTAGGGTATTAAAAAAACTGGTAGTGCTACGAGATGGAACGGCAACTCATTGTCTATGGTCGATATGCACCGATGTGTGCTGGGATCAATGTTGCTAATTTAGCGGTTTTCCGAATTGTCTGGCGGGAAAAATCCTTGTTTTGAAGTTGCACAGGTTTTTGGCAGTTTTCGAGTCATGTTAGCATTTTTTATGGCAGTCTAAACTGTTCTCCAGTGTATGTTTGTCGATTCTAAATACGTAGGTTAATTTCAGTGGTAAGTCATAGACATCGGGCTATTATTTTTGCTTGCTCAAAACAAAATTGTTGTCGATGAGAATAACGCTTGAGAGAGGTGAGAATAACCATTGAGATATTATGAGTCATGCTTTGAACTGATTTGTGCGTCAATGTATGAATTAGTTTTCTGTTTCTGCTGGATGACATGGCCAAGTGAACTGTGAGCAACAACTCGGGAAAAACATGAGGCCTATAGGGTTCTAAACTTTGAGACTGGTTACCGTTAAGTTCTAAGCAATGCCAGATGTACCAGATACATCTACTGGAGTATAAAATGTTTTGCAAAGTACTCGAATTTGATCACAAAAGCTTCGAACTGCCACCAAATATTTCACAAAAATTGGAACTAGTACGAAAATGGTATGGCTAGACCAGGGGTTCTCAAACTGGGTTCTGGGGAGCACAGGGTTCCACGAGCTGGTCTCATGGGTTTTACGAACACCCAAATTGCAACCCCCTTCCCCCAACCCTCCCATGCCGCAGGCTGCGCGGCAGGACCATGCAAAGCACCTTCATCTCACGTTGTACTGACATCGCGATTGATATGGTGGGGATATATGGGAAGCAACACGAGCAACATTGCCTACAATTGTGCATCTGTTGCCTCTCGGTTGGCAAATATGGAACGGGAAGGGAGGGGGGGGGGTTCCCACGGCAATTTTTGAGGCTTCCTGGGGTTTCGTGAGGCCAAAAAGATTGAGAACCCCTGGGCTAGAGAATAAAAATCGTCATAATAATAATAATAATATTGTTCATTTTATGTGCCCAAAACAGCCACGTAGGTGTTCAGATTGGCAGACACAAGGTAAAAAGAAACACAACACACAAACAGCATCAAATGTACAAATTAATGTGACTACAAATAGTGGGCACACACTTCACGCAAAATGTAACACAGTTTCAGCTTTCAACTACACTTGCCAAGTCCTGGCCAAAAACTGAGAGGTGAGAATGTCCAAGCTAGGGGATGCGATTCTATTAAATAAATTTGCACACGGGACAGTGGTGAAGACTTTAGACACGGATTGAATGTAAAAGACAGTAACATTTCTGGAAATGCGATGAGGAACATGAAAATTGACAGAATTCAGAAGTAGGTTAGCATCAAACCCACCATTTACTAAATGACAGGACGATACGTTGAGAAATCCATTTTTGCAGACTTTCCACGGCGAGTTCGAAGCGTTAGTATACGTGCCGCACAGTCCAGAAAATAAGACACGAAACGACTCCCCAATTAGGGACATCTAACGAGCCTCGTGGGCAGAGGAAGGCCACTCACTGTGACCCAGGTGGGCACCAGGTCGCACTTGTTGAGCACAAAGACCAGGTGCTTGTGCGGCTTCTCCTTGCGCATGAAGTTCTCGATGAACTTGGAGCGCGTCCCCATCGGGTCCCGGGCGTCCAGCACCTGAACCACCACGTCCGACGAGTCGATCACCTGGACGGGACGGAGGACAATCATGTTGAGCAGGAGTCCGTATTTCTATTCATCGATCAAAACGCCACGTGTGGAATTGCGGTGCATGAGAAAAGACAGGTTTTCGTGACCCATTCTATTTTACGTCAATGGCCATTATTGACGAGACTTTGCGGCGGATCGGCGCATATGTCCTGCGCGGTGTGGTCTGCCAGCATTTTACGCTGCATTCGGCGGGAAAACTGCAACATCGAACAACCCCGCGACGTCTCGCGAAGTGTTTCCCTGCTAAACTGAGCGGAAACGTTTCTCTGTGCCCTCCGTTACGAGAAGGCAGCTGTAGGTGGCGAATTTATGCCCTTAATTTTTATCCTCTTTACTTGCATAAGCCCATTTTTAATATTTTTATACACTTAAAGGACCCCTGAAAAGAAAAAAAGATGTTTTTTTTAAACTACCTAATTGGGACACGCGTGTCAAAAAATTAATTTAACGCAAAAAAAAAAAATTTCTAGAGCAATATTGACGGCGCGATTTAGTGGCTAGTCACAGCTCCTTTCCACTTGTTTTCTCTCTCGGCATTTCGGGCACGTGGAGGAGCGCGGCTTCGCCTTCACGACCGAGATGGGCATTCCGGAATGACCCGTGACGTCATGGACTTAGTGTGCAGAATTTCAAATAAATCCCCCTCCGCCAATACTGCTCTAAAAAAATTTTTTTCTTTGACACGCATTCTCCAATTAGATTGGTTTTTTTCAGGGGCCCTTCAATGCACCATCTTTGGCCACCTCCACACAAAGTCTCTGCATGACGCATTAGGAAACCGATTTACGCGGTCCCTCCAAACAGCCACCAATCCCGTTGACTCCAGAAGAATTGTCGTCTAGAAACTCTGCCTTCCCTCGCTCTGCAGGAGGGAGGCACCTTAGCCAACGGACGTCACCTTGTAGAGCTCGTTCCAGATGCGCTTGGACTGGCCCTTGGCCATCACCTCCTCCCTGGCCCGGTCCTTGGGCTCCTCGTCCCTCACCAGGTCCCCGTCCTTGGTCGCGTCATACTTCTGGGACAAGGCGTCCACGGCCTGCACCAGCTCCTGAGGACGGAGCGAATCCCACAGGTCGCTTGTTTGTTACGCACTAAAGGGACGCTCCCAAAACAGTCGCTTTGCAAAGTTTTTCGATAGGATGCGTATGGCTTAAAAGGGACATTCCCCGGAAAAGACAATACTGTTTAGTGCAATATTTATGTTGCGAGACACGTTTCAAGTTTGGAGCGGTTTTGACATTCCGGCACGTCAACTCAAAGTAGAAGCATGTGTCGGAATCACTCCTAGAGACACTCGAGTCCCCGAAGAGATTTTAACACGGACCGTGTTTTATCGGCAGATATTTTCAAGGATGTCTCCGACGTCTGGCTGTAACATAGGACTGTAAAGAGAAACCGGCACATAGAAGACTCAAAAGAAGGAAGTCTCTGGCACGATTTGAAGTTCCACCACCTTGAGATTGTGAGCAACCGCAAGTGCTTTACTGACTCAACTATCGAGCGAGGAACGGTGCTTGCTATCGCACGCAGAAGCGAACAACTTTGCGCGGTGCGCAACGGTCGCATCTTGTGCGGCCGCTGTTGTGCAGCCCGCGGTATTGAAAACGTGTGGGCGAAAAAGAAGGCTTTTCGAGCTAACGCCACGCCACGTCACCTTGCGGCGTTTGTCAGAAGAGGGAGCGAATCTTTGACACACTTGCCCCGCGGCAAGTGTCTCGTCCACCGTCGTCTTCTTCCACCGTGTTCCCTAGGAAGCAGACTGCCGCAGAACGTATGCGAGCTTATCGGGAACATAACAAACGGCAGAAGTGCCAGGAACAACCTCCACCAGGGGCCTCCCAGAAGAAAGCCGACAAGTGTAACGCCCATCGCAGATTTTGTGTTTACCAGTCTCTGTCGGCGTGACCGAGCTTGTATACATTTCTTTGAGAGGATATTACTACTCCAAAAGGCGGACACAGTACCCACTAGTCTGATTTGCACGAAATTTGTGGGGTCACATTCAATACCGTGGAAGATGTTGCCACGCAAAGTTTTAGGTCTATACATTAATCGTTCAAAGAGTCGCATAACAATACAGTTGAGTCTCATTAATTCAAACTCTCTTGATTCAAACTTGCAGATAATTCAAACTAACATGCAGGTCCCATCCTATGCGTCTCTATGGGAGGAAACTCGCGGTAATTCAAACTCTGCTTTATTGAGAAAAAAATGTTTGGTCCACCTCGAGTTCGAATTAACGAGATTCGACTGCACATAAAATGACCACTGTGCCACCTAAGGAAAACTATCGCTTAGAAACGGTAATGATAATGGCTGGATCTTTTGGTGAAAAAAACGGTATAACAGCCACGTCACATACCTATGAAAAGAAATTATGAAAACAACTTTTAATAAAAAATAAAAATAAAAAAGATTTTTGTTTTTTGCATGCATTAGCTCGAAGATACTGCAGCTTTTCCTAACAAGGGAGCACGAAAATGCAGAAAGTTTATAGTACCTTACAAAATGTAAGGAAATTCTGAAACTTGGCTTCATACATAAGTTTATCATCAAATGATACCCTTCTTGAATTGAGTTTTGATAGGAAAAATAAAACTCAGGTAAACACCTTTCAAAGTTCAGAAAGCCGCACTTCGGATGGCGCCGACTCGTCGGAAATAATTTACTCCGGAAAAAATATTCCGGTTACTTTTTTATGACATCCGTCAGATGGTCCGCAAAATATATGAGCGCAATATTTAAGCCAAGAGTAAAATTTTGAGTGAGGAGCAGCTCCGAAAATGAGCTTCTGTTTTGCCACATCGCCCCGTAATAGAAACACCAAGCTCCCTTTTGCTTGTTTCTACTTCTCCGGGCTAGGGTAGCAGATGACGTCAGCAATGTTTCCTCTCGGAGCTCAGCGGTGTCCACGTGATTGGCATAACGCGCCTGCGCAGTGTGCTTGTTTGGAGCCGTCTGGCCGCCCCGCCGTGGTCCTGCCGTTACCGCCGTCTCCCACGTCACAACCGCCGCAGTCTTCTTACCGTTTGCGACCGACACTACGTGCGCAGACTTTTGCAGTTGTGCAGACATCGTCAAATGTCGTAGACACCAAAACGTAACGAAGAGTGCGGTGCAGACGACACTTGCGCCTGGCACACGCCCGCCCCAATCCCGCCCGTCGTTGCGTAGAGCATCACATCACAACTTGTACCAGGTGATGGCCATGTTCTTGGCGGCCCGAGGCCAATGTTGCCAGACAGAGCCGAAGTTTCGGTTTTAATTTCCGCTCGTGTTTAAAATTAGATTTAAAATATATATATCCTATTTTTCGCAAAGCAAACGACATAGTGTCTTTTACTAGGGCTTTTTAATGCGAAATCACCGATTATCCTGAAATCTTCGAAACTGAGCGAAGTTGCCCTTTAACAGGCATCCGTTAAATGTGTCGAAATGTGCCACATAAAAAAGTTGTACATGAAAAATAAACAATTATATTGTAGTATCCTAAAAATGATTTCATTAATGCAAAAAAAAAAAATCTATTATTGGGAAAATTCAAGGATTTTCAAGGACCGCTAGAAATTCCAGGGCTTTCAAGGTCTGGAAAATGCCGTTTTTGAATTCAGGGTCTTCGGGGACCCGTGTGATCCCTGCAATCGCATTTGAGGATGACGACTCTTTGGCACTGTTGCACTTGTCTGACAGAAGGTGTCACTTTCCAGGGCCATGTAAATCGGGATACCGGCATGGAGACCACGGGACCTCGAACCATGTAGGTTATACACGAAGAACTCTCCGTGCCGAGCGACCAAGACTCGGATGACCCAAACTCGAGCGATAATAAAACCCTTCTAGCAAGTGCATCTGATGAAGCTTTGGGGTCTTCAAAATGGCTGCGTGCTACTTTTCTTGAAGGGAAAATTGGGACTTCGTGCTAGAACTCATAAGGGGGCTGCAGACGTTGCTTGTTGAGTCGCAGAAGCGTACGCAAATGCGCGATAAAAATTATTTTAGCGAACATGTTTCCACTGTTCTTGTAAAGAGTTCTGGATGAAAAAAAAGCCAAAGAAAATGCCCGTTACAGAATGAACACAGATGGAGGCGTGGATAAAAAAAGTCTGAGTAAATGCGTGTTAGATTATTTTTAACAGGTAACACCTTCCTGCTGTTCTCGCGAATAAAACATTTTTAGAAAACGAACAAGCGCCGTCTGTTTTTCCGTAACTGTATTTTGCGTAACTTTGACGCGGAGCATTTCGGAACTAATGCTGCGCGAAGCTAAGGAAACTGAATTATTGCCGCGGTCACGGGAAGTTGTCCGATTGGTTTTTCTTCCGAGACTGCTGACGGATGACTTCTTGTTGGACGTAAGTAACTGGGACTGCCGTTGCTACATACTTTGTATATCGTGGCTTTAAATTGCCAAAAAAAAGTAAATTCCTACACCTTTGCGATTCTGTAAAGCACGTCAATCGCCACGGAGTTCGCTGCTTTCATTTCACATTTCTGGGGTGGTAATATGTTTAGTTAGCCATACACTTTTCACAATCCTTAATCATTTGGAAGGATGTGCGGCCACGTTTTGCGGCAAGGCCTAACCTAATACAAACTCTCCGATTGCCTTACCGCAAGCTCGCGCACTTTGCGCGGCGCAGCAGCACTTTATTAAGAGGCTATTTTACTTCAAACTCTAGATTATTCTAACGCAACTTTGTCCCCCCTGAATTAACGAGATCCCGCCGTAACGTCGCAGCGAGGCTTACCTGGAGGTCGCCCACGGCAATGTTGGGCTTCTTGCGCTGCGCCTTGGGTCCGAAGGTCGTCTCGAAGCTGGCAGTGTCCAGGATGTGCACGCGGGCATTCTGTGGGGTCCCCAAAAAAGGCCCGGCGTGAATCGCGTGTACGCCTAAACTTGCTATGAGAAAGTGCGAAAGAAGCTCCAAGGGCATGCTGAAGTTAGAGGGGCACTCAACTCCCAACAAACTTTCTTTTTACATGTTTGATAAGATTAAAAGTAAAACAAATGTATTTAGTGCAATCTTTACATTGCAAGACTTGTTCAAGCGATTTTCAACGGGCTCTGATTTCAGGGTTTTTCCACGCAAAGCTTACTTTGTCACGTATGTGTTGCAATCCAACACTGCATCCCTTTAAAGAGGCACTGACAGGGTATTTAGGCTTGCCAAGGTTTTTATTTGTACATGACATATGAGAGCCCGCTACCAAGAACACAATTCGTGGCTCGAAATTCGTTTTCTTTCCACTGCGAAAACCGCCGATCAAGAACTGGCCAGCTTGAGTTGCGCTCACTCTCTTCTCTGCGATCACGTGCCATTTTTTATGGTTTAGACACAACCACCAGAAGTAACCAAAGTTGTGGGTCATCGAAGGGACACGCTCAATACTAGAAATGGACAATATGATACCCATTGTTTGTGGCTTCTAAAAACGGCAAATACGTTGATTAAAAAAAAAAAATTACACAGCGACGTGACTTTTTGTATTTCTCTCCTCTACATTTCTTCTTTTACCTTTGCCCAGTTCCGGCTTCAGTTTCGAGCAGTGCGTTTTTTTACTTTATTAAAAATATATGCGACACTGTAGCAAAATATTGATTGGACAGTCTTCCGACGCCAGAATAGATCGCCTGGCAAATAATTACAAAAAAAGCTTGGGGAGTGTCAGTGCGGCTGCTCGTGAGAAACTGCCGTCTTAACTGGGGTCCCGTGTCTTAGAATAAACCCGCAAAGTTCGCGAAAATAAAAGAAAAATGCATGTACGCATTTATTTTAAAAACATGAAATTTCAAGCTTCTTGTGCGAAGGAGTGGCTGACATTTGCCTCTTCCAAGGATCATGGGGTAAAATGTTTTTTGTTATACATACTTCTATTTTTAATTTTTCTGCAACGAGAGCTATAATTAGGGATGTTGCAAACTTTTGCTGAACAACAAGGTGTGACCAGTTCGGCGTACCTCTTTTGGTAAAATTCTAAAAGTGGGTCAGATTCATTTGGCACTCGCGGTATATGAACCTACGGCTTCTCCGATCAGTGCAAGGTTCTAATTTCCGCACAATCTCGGCGTGGTGCCCGGAGCCTCTCCGGCCGGCGCATTTACTGCATCCTCATTTCTGGTCCCTCGATTTCTGCGGGATGACGACACAAAAGTGCCACAACGTTGCCCGTTACAATCCGAAAGAGTGGCGCCCTTCGGCTTGACGATCCACGCAAGCGTCGGCAGCCGCATTCTTCGTGCTTCGCGCAACAATTACATTCTTCTCTCGCTTTTCGCCCAAAACTTCCGCAACCTCCCACCATGATTGCGACCCCCCGACCACCCTAGGACCACCTTCAACGCGTGGGTAGGATGGGATGCTACACCGGGGTGCCTGGAAAGCATTTTTTCACATTTCCCGTAAAGAGAGTGGTCTTGAATTGGCAACAAATTGCGTCACAGGAGCCGTGCCGAACGTTGCGATCCTGGTATTTGGGTTCTACAAGCTCCTCCATGAGTGTCGCCGTCGTCCTAACCCGTCCCAACTCCCCAAATTTACAGAGTTTGTAACTTGTTGGGTTTTGTAACATGTAACGTTTCTTTTTTGTTGTTTTCGGCTGAAATTATGCCGGTACATTTTGTTTTGTGTAAGAGTAATAACAAAGTACCAATTGCAACGGTGTCCCGCCCACAAGCACACACGTGCTTGTGCGGGCCTGGATAATTTGTGCATTACTTTGTTATGCAATAAACATATGTGTGTACACTAATTCCTCGTAATAATGAAATTGCTTTTTTCAGATTATTGCTTTTATCAAAGTTCAATGTGGTCCCGATCAAAATGCAGGCATTTTAACCGGATCATTTGAAGTGTATCAGTGGCCAACCACGCTTATTACGAAAACCGCAGTGCCGAAAGCACGCAAGCCTACACGAGGGCGCACAGAAGACCCTCGCATTCCCCCCCCCCCCCCCCCCCCCCCCCCCCTTTTTCACCGAGGAAAACGGCAAACTGGGAAAATGGAGTAAATGGGTGAAGGAGGGCAGAGCGCGCAGAGCTGGCAGAGCATCACCTTTGGTGCCGATGAGCTAACGCGGGCAAGGAGTAGCGGGAGCAACAACCACATTCCGACACTACTCACGCGCGCGCGGCCGACGCGGCCCAACTTTTGTCGGAATCGGGTCAAGGGAGCAACAGAGCCTAAACGAGATCATCACTTCAAAAGCCCCCAATGCATGCGCCTGCGGCGCACTACAAGCACACGTGCGTCGTACGGGAGATTGTTAGTATTTACCGAAAGTCTCTAAGATCTGCGAGGTTGAGGAAAGTGGCCGGACCAAGTCCAAAATCACCAAAGAATTCTACATTCCGGTGTCGGCTGTTCGATACCGTCCACCATTTTGCGGAACAAGCAAGGCACACAGACGGGTTCGAGAAGCTTATCATGCAAGAAAAAAGCGCATCTGCGACCTGAAGATAAAAAATCACTGATGTCTTTGCGCACGTCAGATTTTCACTCATGTGTATCACAGGCGTCGAAACAATTCAAGAAAAGAAAAGGGAGGGTTAATGCAATTTTGCGCCCCCTTCCCTTATTGTTTCCATTAAATTTCTGAACTGTCTTAGTGGGGGGGGGGGGGGGGGGGGGGGGAACCCCCTGTTTTGACGCCACTGGTGAACATGCTTACCGAGCCAGCGCACGATTTTTATAGCTCCAACAAGCTCTTCAGGAGTGTGCGAAATATGTTGGCGAAGCCACCGAGGATAACTTTGATTCATTTGCGCTTGTCGATGCGAACGTTCCTGTTGTTCTCCTGCCACGGATGCTGCGATCGTAGACCTTGCATGCGACCAGGGTAAGCACGAAGTGACGTCCAAGAGGCACCTAGGGATACGCCGACGACTGCGGAGACACGAAACATCCTACGGCTGCATTGAAACAAAGTGGAGTGCAGTGGCGGTGACAGTATTCTTGCAAGCCTGCAGCTGTTCAAGTAGAACTGATGCCCGGAAGAAATCGGCAAACTCCACTTAATTACTGGTTACTCAGTAAAGCTGCTGTTCGATGTTTATAACCGAGGTATGTTCGATTATATATACGATCACTGTGTTCCGCAGTCTTCCTGTCCACTTTCGAGGTTGTTGGCACTGTTTTTTTTTTTTTGCTCTAACGCTTTCATCGAAATATCGCTTACATAAATATTTTTTGCCGTCCCGTTGACTCAGTTATAACGAGACTACTGTATGTATGTATGTATGTGTGCCGAAGTTTCTGCAGACCGTACAGCCGAAGTGGGCGACAGAACGAACGACTGCACAACCACCTCCGCCAAAATATAGCGGCGGGCAATGGCACGACACTTCCATGATGTCATTAACGGAGTGAGCGATGAACTGCTTCCGTGGATGCGGCAAGCGCACCGACCGGACACGCGCTGCAAGCGGGACCGTAAGCGAAGCTGCGGACAACGAGTGTCGATCGAGCCGGCGCCCACCTTGGCCTTCTCGTTGAGCAGGGTGACGGGCAGCCGGGACTGGCGGAGAACCACCTGGTAGGGGTCCCGCATGGCCTTGCCCAGCTCCTCCTGGAAATTCTGCAGGGCTGTCTGGGTGACCACCTTGGTGTTGCCGAACCACTTGGGGTTGGGTGCCACACGGGCCACTGCGCCGGGCTGCACCCACGACTGGTACGGGGCCGCCTTCACTATCTTGCCCTTGCGGTCCCTGCACACCACGTTAAGCTTCGGATGAGGCTGCTCGAGCCAGAATTTATATGATAATGATACTACTACTACTAATATTATTATCAAAAACAATAACGATACATTTCAGTGCACAAAAAAAAATCATGGAAGGGTTCACAAAAGCAAGCGTATAGAGGATAAACCAATCACCACTTCAGGTTGGTAACAACACTCGTGTATTCTAGCTTCAACATCTTGACTCTGGTGCCCGACATCTATTTTTTATTATAAATGCTAAATCTATTCATCGTTACAAAAAGCTTTTTTTAAAATATACTTTTTGTTAGGCCTTATTTAATGTCGTGTGGCTGTTATTGTAAATCTGCCCCATTTTATTGTGTAAAGCCAAATTTTTCTACGGGTTGCGATGGGTGTCTGTGTATATTGTTGTTCAGTTTTTTCATGAACGTTTTAATGTAGAATGTGTTTTATCTGCTGAATTCTACGGAAAAATTGTCATGAAGACCTGTTGAAAAGGACTGTGACATCATCATGACGTCACCATAACATAATGACTTCCTGATGTAATGGTGACATATTACCATGACATCAAATGATGTCACCTGGCATCATGACATCATCATGATGTCAAGTTATAAGTCAGAATAATGTCACCATCATATCATGATGCCAGTGTAATATCTAGATTATGTCACAATAACATTACATCAAGGTGACGTTACCATTACATCATGACGTCATGGTGGCATGTGACATCATGTCACATTTTATCATGATGCCACGTGACATGACATTATGACGTCGCAAGATGTCATGCGGTACCGTGATGCCACGATGCCAGTCATGTGACTTCATGATGTCTAGTGATGTCACACGCACACATACAAGCTAATGTAATTTTTTTTTTTTTTTTTTACCAGAGCATTGTATGATTGGTTTAAATGGACCTATTAGCATTCTGTGATTGTGACTTGTTTGAGCCTTTATGTTTGTGTTACTTTTTTTTCTTCATTTTTTCCGACAAGTGTTGTGTATAGCTCGGCAAGCCTCAACAGGCGGCATCAGCCTGGCTTTTGCTCCATCGGCCAAAAAGTCTGAATAAAGTCTTATTATTATTATCATTATTATTATTATTTACACAATATATCTTATTCACCTACTGCGGAGGTTCTACCATGGTCCTTAGTTATGCTACTTACTGGTCTGTAAACTTTGCCGGAAACGACCCTCGTGTAGCGATTCAATATCCCAAAAGGTCGCGGCCCCCTGGTCTCAAGTATAAGTGGAGCTTCCAATCCTTCACCTTTTCTGCGAGTTCGTGGGCTGTTACGAAAAAGTAGATGCATCCAGCAACTTTCTCCACAATGGCTTTTTCGAATACGCGTCCATCCATTGGGTCCTCCGAGCGATTTGAATGGCCATCTATACAAGCCGGCAGAGTGCCTTTAGCGCTTCAATTTGTCCCTAAAAAAGATTTTCACAAGGCACAACAAAAATTTCTTATTCCGGCTAATTTAAGTAGTATCACTTACCAAAATTTCGAAAAAGCAGCCAAAAAGATGGGGGCAATACAGGTTGCACGATGCAAGGTACTCGTATCTGCACCTTGTATAATTTAACCTAGACTGCTGTACCGACTGATGACATTTCAGCCACTTTTGGGCATTCAAAATCACTGTTTTCAGTTATCAGGACTTTCATCCGAAGTCACGGGAAGCGCTTTTCCGTTCTCCAGAAATGCCGACGCAGTTTGCGACAGAGCAAGGTGACACCGGCCGAGCTTCCTGACACCCCTGTCAAAATGCCGGGAAGTCGCATTTTCAAATCGTAACGAATCACAACTTTTGCCACTTTGCACCGAGCTGCAAAATGGTGGCGGCACCCAAGAGACAGTTGGGGAACAACTCAGAACGTAGCTTGTCTGGTGGCTTTAGATCAACCTGTCCCTTCTTTTCCCGCTTTTTTCACAAACTTCAAGATTAACTGGCCCAATAAATTGTTTTGCGTCACTTATCGCTCCTCGTTGATCGCAACATGCATATATTCCGACTTGAACGCCGTGACACTGCTATCCCACATCTGTTTATGGGATACAACTGAAGAGGTTCTAGACACTGTAGAACCATGAACAACAGCAAAGGTGGGGATACAAACCGACACAATTTGCATTAAGCTTCTGAACATGCGTTGTAACAGCGCCACTGCAGCGGTGTGACGCCGCGTGTTTGTGTATGGGTGACGAGATGTTTTGGTGGCGCCACCTCGCGAGCGCCCTCCTGTGACGGAGGTGGTAGGATCCAAGCAGACGACGCGCTACGTCAAAGCGGGGAGTGGCTATGTTAGTTCGCATCTATGCCGATTAAAAACAGCTTATTTATTAAAGAAACACATATGATGTTTTTATGAGTGATTTTTCTAATAAATAAAAGTGTCTCGAAGTTGCTTGTTATAATGTACAGGAACAAGCCTGGAGCTTCACATTGCAGCCCACGTGCTGTACGTCAGGGCTGTTCACAGCCCTTCTGATTCTTGTTTTTGCGGATCTGCGGAGGCTGATGCAAAAAAAAGGTTTGGCATTCGCCAAAGTAAATTCTGTGCTGTCTTCTTAGCTGTGTATGTGCGCACAGTTGTGTTGCAAAGTGCAGCACTCCTGTCTTAGCACATTGAGCTTACAGATACTGATGCTTCTATCCAAGCATGACTTGACACTTGCCGACGAGCAAATGCTCATCAGCAACTCACGCTTAGCTCCTCCCGCATAAAATACGTGGCAAAGAAGTTTGTCACATTGCGACTTCTGCTCAAAAGCAAAGCAGAAGTTTTCATAAATTCTTATGTTGTCGGATATGGCCCGGCAAATTCAGCGATTCATTACTTTGTTTTATCCAACTTTTAGTAAGAATTGTTTACAAATTTAGAATCACTCGCGGAGAAGTGCATCACGCATTATACGCCAGTTGGGTCCACAAAATTAAACCTACAAATGGTAGTAATTCATAGAACGTGTATACCTCATTTTTTGGGACTGAAGCTTGCCCAACTGACTAGATTTAGGACTTGAATCGCCAGGGGGTCTGGCACGTTTCGCGTCGACCGGGTGGATAAGCAGTAACTTAACTAAAATGACTCTGGAAGCCAGCCACCATTCCTTCCTGCCACTTATTTTGAGGAAATGTTCATTTACTGGTTTACAAGATTCAAAAAGGAATTTAACCTTGAAAAAATAAAAGGCCAGCACTCACAGACCACATTAGAACCAACAAGATACACGGAGTCACTTTCACAGAAGTGTTTATTACACACGTGAGAGGTTCTCGAATTTTGCTTTCTTATTTTCAATTTAATGAGACATTCCTTTTTCAGTTTTATTTTGTCCGAATCGCAATTAAAAAAATAAACCCCCCTCGCCGTGGTAGATGTTGTAGTCGGGTAAAGCGCTGGATATTCTATTTTTATCATTCAGCTTTCTATGCTGGGGTAGTGAACAGCACACCATCATCTGAGTGCTTTGACACTTGAGCGCCAAGTGTTTTTTAGCACGACTATGCGTGCCATGCTTTAAAGCTCTAATAAAATGTCCTACTAGCCACAGTCTTATTCAAAACTTTTTACTGCAAGGTAGGGTTATTACATCAAAGTTACAAAGTTCTTTTCTTTTTTTTTTTTTTTAGTATATGTAATGTTTGTGTGTGCAATGTCTTGCTCTGGAGGAGAGCCTTCCCCTTAGCATATGGCTGCACTGCAGCAAAGCAAGATACACAAAATTGCAACGTCCCCTCCACAGTTCTCGCTTCATTGCAATGCACCAGAGTGCAGTGAGAAGCAGACCCAATAAAGCTACCTTTCATACCAGCCAGAACAGACCACGAACACGAGGAAACACGAACGACTTCGGAGTACAGTAGGTGTTTGATAAAAAGATCCAATCAAGTGCCGTAAAATCCCGAGAGACGTCCCACCCCCAAAAGGTAACCCGCCCCCTATTTCTGGCTCGATTTGCTATTCTTTTTTAAACACCGAAAGATAGCCTAATAATCGTAGTGTTTGGATCAATGATGACCTTGGTGTAAATGCGTCTAGCTAGCTATGGCGGGACATAAGCGAACATTACTGACTGGGAAGTACGATCATTTTTGCTCCGTTGCCCCTCGCCGCGATAACATGTTTGACAGAAAAGCATAATGCGAAAATAGCATTTTTGTTTTTCAACTTTTTTCAATTGCACATTGAAAGATAGCCTACTCCTTATTGTCAATCAATTTTCTTTCGATTTTAGGGGGGCTAACCTCAGTATATTACAATAGTCTGTTACTGGGGGTGATAATTGAAAGTTCTGAAAATTTGGACAGGCCTACCGTAATGATCCTGCCCTGTAGCGTGGCCTCGGCTATTATATATTCAGTAGTAATGAAGTGAAATTACATTTTAGTGCAATGTTGCTGCAGACTGATCCCATTTCGGCAAAATGTAGCAGGATCTGGCAGGGTCAGCAGTTTGGCGCAAATGGTGCAGCAATCGCATCATTTGACTCGGTTGGTTTTCCTTTTTCTCTCTCCTCTCTCTTTCTTGCTGTTCCTCCGATACCCCGATACAAAAACCTTCTACAACCTTACCCTATACACATTTATAGAAGGAAAGCCTCCTCCCAAAATGTTCCGAATTAATAAAGTCTCTAATATACAAACCTCTCTGACGCCCTGTGTTACAAAGCAGCTGAGGCTAGCTATCGGCGAGACCCCAAAGATTTCCTCGAGTAGAGACCTCGTGCTCCCCCCTTTTTGGAAACTTACCGTTACAATAGGAAAAGAATACGTAGCCCCGTTTGTCGCCCTGCCACTCAACCCAACCGAGGAACGGAGCATGACACGTTTAAAAAAAATCTTTTTACGAAAGCTCCCCCTTTTTTTATGGTGCCAGCAACGTAACCATAAGACGAGACTCGCATCTAAATGTGAATTGCTGGCCACCTACGAGGGGGATTGTTGTACGGATGGGGAACACGAGAAACAGCCATGAGGCAAAGCTGAAGACAAAACCAAATAAATAAAAAAAAAAAAAAGATAATTAAGACGCCTATAAGAGCGGGTGGTTATCATTTGAGCCCGCTCTCGTTTCGCCCTTCTCACTTGGCCCTTCTCAAAACAACCATTCTCAAAAAGATCTTCACTCTTGAACCTGTCGCATTTGGCCCTTTCCCGTTTCGTCCTTCGCATTTCAACCCTCCTCATTTGAGTCCGTTCTCATTTCGCCCTTCTTACTTGGCCCTTCTCAAAACAACCATTCTCAAAGAGATCTTCTCGTTTTGGCCCGTCGCATTTAGCCCTTTCCCGTTTCGTCTTTCGCATTCCAACTCTCCTCATTTGGGCCCGTTCTCGCTTCGCCCTTCTCCCCTGGCCCTTTTCAAAACAACCTTTCTCAAAAATATCTCGCTTTGACCCGTCGCACTTGACACTTTTCATACAAAAATTGTTTTAAGGTTATATTAATAAATACGTTGATATATTTTGTGTGTGTGTGTGTGTGTGTGCACATGCGCGCGTGTGTGTGTGTATGTGTGTGTGCCACACTACAGGCATACTTTCTCTGCTAAGGATTTTAGCAGTGCGTCGAGGTCTTCTTGAAAAGCTAATCGCTGACAATAAAACAGACCAACTACTTATCGCAGCCAGATCATATTCGGAAATGTCACATTGTTTGAGGTCTCTTGACTTGGGACAATGCCACGTACCACTTCTATAATGCAGTGGTTCTCAAATGAGGGTCTGCGAAGCCCCGTCTCAACAGTCAAGCACGGCAATGTTAGTTGTCTTTCTTCACGTTGAGAAGAAACGTTCCAATTTTTGGGTGAGTGCTCTCGTGTGTATGTCAATGAGATAAGTCTACTTCACACTAGCAATTAGTTATATTCATTTATTAAATCATTATCATGATAACATATACCTTTTTATTCCCCCCACCCCGAACGGGGTCCTCCATCATCTCCGCCTTTCTACAAGGGGTCCGCGAAACATCAATGGTTGAGAACGACTGCTGTTATGTATGCTATTTCCGTTCAAACATAGTTTCCAAATTAAATGTTCATCGCTTTTTTTTTTCTTCTTTCGTTTGCTTAGAGGAAGGCAAGCAGGCGTCATTGTACAATTCTCAGTGCGTACCTCTACAAATACAGTACAGACCACTTACAACGTAACCGCTTATAGTGCCGAACCGGGTATAACGCGGTTTTTTTAAACCACCGGTTCGCCTCCCATAGAACTCCATGTATTTACATACCGCTTAACATGCAGGCGCGCGAAGGGAAATACCGGTTATAGTGCGGTTTTCGGCACAGCCCGCCGACCACGCCGACGACCGGAGCAGCGAGCACGCTTCCCTGTGCGACACTAGATAACGGCGCTGACGGCACGGGGCGAGGATGTCGCTCGAAGAAGTGGAAAGAAGTGAAGAGAGAGGCTTCAGTTGCCATAGCGACGGAGGGACGCACACACGCGTCGTTCACGTGCGTGCGTCCCTCCGCCCCTCCGCTGCGTTGGAAACAAAGAAACAAACAACCGCACCGACAGACCAATCGCAGATCGAGGAGAAGTGTTCGCGATCGCGGTGGTCACGGGTCGGCCGGCCGGCTGCTTCTATCCGCAAACATGGCGTCGGTTGTGATCGTCGTCGTAGACGGCGTTCATCTCATCGTTGATCGTTCTGCGTAAAAGCATCTTCCTTGACTGAATTTTCGTTGTGTGTCGCTATGATAACCCAGCACGTACTAGAAGGGCAGATCCACCTACTCGTGCGGCGATGTCGTGGCGGCGCTCTCAAGACGGCAGAAACGCCCGTGTCGTTGTGTTTGTTTACTTCGACTACAGTGGTGATTTCTAAGCATTTGTGTCCTTGAACATCGCCCGGATATCTTATTTGGCGCATTTCATGCGTGTGCTCAAGTTCAAGGTATTACTGGCGCGTACCGTACGAAGGATGCGAATTTTCACGCGTTTTCATCCCCGGAGAAGTGATTAGGGTTAGCAATCCTGAACGCTCGGAACGTCCGTCCGCAACCCGCGATGCCGTTAAGCCAGGCAAAAGCCGCTAATTTCTTTCAGAATGTGTGACACACTTGAGACAGAACTGTACCAGTCTGCTGAAATAAATACTTTCCTCAAACTAAGCTTTATTTTTCATCTAACATAAGATAAATTCTTTTACAAAGGTAAGTTGTCTCATGGCATGTATTTTGGCCTGAAAAATTGATGTTTTGGTTATAGCGCGGTACCGCTTATAGTGCGGATTTTCGCGACTCCCGCGACATACGTTATATGCGGTCTACACTAACATATATCTGATGGTATGTTGGGGGCCCAAGCAAGGTAAGGCTCATCAACAAAACTGTGAAGGCATAACGACATTAGAAGCATGCTGAACTAGTGCCATTCGGTCAAGCACGAACGGGCGAAATGAGAATGGGTCCAGTTGCGAAAAATACCATTTGGATCTTGTGAGAAGTTTCAAACAAGGCGGATCAAATGAGAATGAAATGAAATGCGCACGGTCAAAATGTGAATGGGACATTTTCAGATAACGGGCAAAATGAGAATGGCCCAGTTGCGAAAAACACGATTCGGATCTTAAGAGAAGGGTCAAACGACAAGGACCAAATGAGAATAGGACGAAATGTGCAAGGTTCAAATGCGAATGGGACGTTTTGAAATACACCCATAAGAGCAGAGCTAGGTTTCGCACTGTAACGAAGAGGTCACAGACATCCACCGCCTTGTTGCACATCCGAGAGAAATGAATGATCGATGCGGCCTTCAAGAAGCCACGGGATGCTCGAGGGCCGCAACTCGTGGAGTGAAAGTGTTTTTCACGACAACGCGTCGACGAAAACAAGCGAATCGTATGCAGGCTGCTACTTGCACGGTCCTTAGACTACCTGGTCCAGAATCATTTCGTCACGCTACGAGAAAGTTTTTAATTGTGACAAATTGAAGCACAGACAACCAATCGAATCGCTCAGAGAACCCATTGGGTGAACATGGGTTCGGAGAAGCCAGCGTGGAGAAAATCACCAGATGCCGTCTATTTTCGCAAAACTTCACGGAGCCGTAGAAAAGACGGGCGATTGGAAACGCCATCCATACTTGAGACCTGGGGGTCAAATTATTTCCGAACAAGTGAAACGTCATGCACAGGGTGTTACATCTGCTATAAGAGAAGTAATACCAAACTTACTCCAGATGTTTTTTAAACTTAAAACTTAGATACAACTATTTTTTCACTCCTACATAGATCAGTGCCTCTCATGCTACCTGTTAACGCACATCCACCAAATCTACCGTCCACAACAACCCCTCTGATTCGTGGCCCACGTGCACCCACCTGTAGGGCCTCGAGTTCTTGTACATGAGCAGTCGCTTGATGGTGGCCTTGTCCCGCATGCTGTTGTCATTTCCCTTCTTGGGCCGGTCTGGGGGAAGGAAAGGAAATTCAGAAAGATGAGCCATAAAAAAAGACGGTGGCACATGGACTATGCTAACAACAATGCAACTACCGCAATTATTGCGTCCAACAATGTGTGTTACAAAACCTGGAGGAGGAGTAAAAATTTGTAATTTTAATTTCTTACTTTCACCGAAAGTACATTCAGCACCAGTACTTGCAAGGGCTGCACGATAATTATAATTACCCTCGCGACGAAGCAAAGCTGCGCCGACAACACGGCGACTGCCTCATATGCCCTTGCAACAGCACGTGGAGCCTGAATTTGGTTCCTCAAAAGACTGTGTCGAAGCATGGTCCCTAACGCACGGCTGAGCAACTCAAAAGGCCACACTGCATGCAGAGGGGAGCAAGAAGTGCTAGCTGTCGTCAGAGACATTTGTGGCTCGTCAAAAGCACGAACAAGACGCAAGGAGGTCTGAACTGGGAGGAGTCGGCGTGACATCACACAAAAGAGAGTTCCAGAAGGAACTGCGTGTTCCCGCTATGACTCACTTCGTTCTCGTCGTCCCATTTGTGCGCCAGATCACGAAACCACGAGATTGCCGAGTGGTCCAAGACGGTCACTCCTTTCCATCGACAGCCTTCCTCCCTCTCTTGTGTGATGCGCAATACAGCACTCTACACTTACACCAGAAATGTCTAGGGTGCGGACAAAGGTACACGAGCCTAACCGACACCTTCCGAAAGCAAGGACTTTGTGCTAGATTCTTTTACAACATTTGGAGTATTGGTAATGAGATCAAACTATAGGGGTGCTCTTTCCAGTTTCTTTTCCCCAAAGCTCGGTGTTTACTCAACACTAAACCAGTGGACTGGATTCTTTACGTAACGTAAAAAGTGTCGGCAATAAATGGAGTGACGTTGGCAGGACAGAACAATTTGGATCTCTGCCAAAATCAGTCGTCGGAGGATATGAACTAGGCCCGCTACGGCCTTTGTTCTGCGCAGGTGCTGGTAACATGCACAGTGCAGGTTGCATTGTTCACGCACGCCAGAGTGGCTACAGGGGCGACGGGAAAACTAGAGACCCCACCGAACGCTGCGTGTGGTTCTAAAGTTAGCCAATTGGGGCGCAGAGGTTGGATCTCCTTCCCTATAAGGAGCTGCAACGCTAAATCAAATTTATGAAAGCCTCTCGCAGGCTGGGATGGGGTCGTGTTTGGGGTACCGGATCCGACCAGTTCGATAACGACCAACAAAAAATGTGGTTACGGGAGCTTCGTTAAATATTTATAGAACCTTCGAACAAAATGCACCATATTCTGAGCTCCGTCGTTTGTCGGGGTTCCACTGTGCGATGCAGCAATTCGCTCCTACTGTGCGATGCGGCAATTCGCTCCTCATGCATCCTATAAGCTCTTGTTAGAGTCCACGGGCAGTTTCATAGTGCGAGAACACGCAACAAGGCGTAAACAAAATGAAACGCATATTTTGCCCGCAATGTGATAACAAAATCTACTTCATAGTCTTTGGAGTTGCGCGACTGGAAAATCAACAAACGGCCAAGTCATCCAAAGATCATGGTCTGCGGCAAGCCCCCTTTTCTTCACAAAACAGGGTAAATCAAGCTCTGAAGTTTTACACGGGAAATTATAAAATCACGCTAAAGAAACAGTTTTATGTTCCCTTAATTCAAAATAAATAACATAATTTTTACTGTCTTATGTTTTTTGGGCATGGTCATTCATTACAGGCTGTCAGAAATCGCGAGGCATAGAAATATCCCATTTATCCCAAAAGTGTATTTAAGTGCTGCATTTTACCTCACGAGCTTGCAAGGCGTAGCTTCCTTACTGCGAGAAATGAAACCAACGGACCTGTCAAGATCAACAGCGGATGTCAACGTGGACGACCAAGTTCACGACGGTCGAACTTGCAGCGTCATCACAGGGGCAGCGAGCAGACGACGTACTTGCTCGAAAGAAGACGACCTGGTCGTCTCCTTGCAGTGCTTCTCGGGAGCTGGCTCCACAAGTTACATTCATTGCTTACAGAGCCTAGATTGAAAAGACGGTTCATCTCAAACCACGGGAAGAGTTTGAAATTTAATGGTGGACGCGTCTTGTAGAGATTGGTCGCAAGACTGCACGCACTGCGTCATTGCGTGGCGAGAAAGAAAGCAGGCGGAAAGGCAGAGACGCTTGCAAACGATCAACGCCTGCATCACCTACTCACAGCTCGCACTGCAATTGTGGCCCAGGAATCACGTGACCCCGATGGAACAGTTCCGAACTCTATATTTGTATTTCATTGTATTTCGGGCGTCCTAAGTGGTGCCATTTTATCAAATGTGCACTTTCTACCTTCATCCGGGTACTTGGGAGCACCGAAGCAGTCTGGCTGACTGACCACCCGGACGGAGTGTTCATTGCGTAGTGCACTGGTACTGCCGGAAATCGACTGGCCCTTTTCAATTCTGTTATCTCCTCAGGACTTGATATTGTGGAATTTATTTATCACATCAGCAAAATTTAAATGTTAAGAGCGCCTTTCTTTGTGGCATGGCTGGCACCGGCACATTGCTTTCGTCAATGTCCAGGCTTCGCAACAACCGATACTTCTTTCACTTTTTCATTTTTTTTTTGGGGGGGGGGGGAGGATTTTTCCTTCTTTTTTTTAGCCTTCTTTTTGTTTTTTTGAGGTCAGTCTCTTCCTTCCCTACCATGCGGTGCCATTGTGTGATAGTTCTTGCAGGGTTCTGTCTGTTAACCTTGGCTGAAATCGTGATCTTTTGAAATACAAAGTTTTCTCGAATACTGTAAACAACTTATTTTTCGCGATTTAGGTCAAAGCTGAAGTTTTAGAATAATTCGCTGGTTTCTAATTTTTGCGATGTGATGGGATCTCAACATTAGATTCCAATGTCTTTACATTTTACCAGAATTTGTTTGCGGGACCTATTTTTCACGAATTGTAGGCGATTCGCGAAATTCACAAAAATTAGGTTTGCGCGAAAATTAAGTCGTTTACAGTATTTGATTTTCAGGAAGTGCTTCACTCTCCTGGTGGGGATGAATAAAAGTGAGGTTTGCGAACACAAAATTTAGCAGTGTTTGGAATTTGGTGTTCATATTTTTGTGCTGCTCCTCCCCACATTCCTGAGTTACAATGTCTGTTCTCAACCAGCTCTCTTGCATCTTCGACTTCATTTATGCGAGTGTTGCTCTACATTTTCTCTAAATTATTCCGGCACATTGACGCATTAACGGAAAATTACCGTGAGAAAACAACCTCTAAAATAATCCAATGGTAAATGTCTGACGCTTCAAAATCGGTAGCATAGTCTTTGTTTTGTATCAAGCGTCCCCTGCTAATTACTACCCGAGAATAAATATAGTCAATAAACTATCAATCTAGCTGCCACACAACCGTTTTGTTCAAGATAAATGCTGCACTCCACTTACAATTCCGCTCTAGTCCGGCATAAATGTCAGCACAAGCCTTACAATTGTTCGCCGGCCATTAAAAAGAAAGAAAAAATGGAGCTAGCAGACATAATTTTTTCTCAGAAGTTAAGTCTTTTAGTTCTAAATTCGACAGTTACTGGCGGTGCAGGTCAGGATTGGCACAGAACCGCGGCAACAAAAAGATGCCACATCCACATTTATTTCGTTTTGACAGCCTGGGTCACGCACACTGTTTTGGAGCTTATGTTTTTCTCTGTTATCTACACAACCAATGGCAGCCAATGCTGTCTGGAAAATTCTGTTTTCGAATATCACAAGGTACGCGAAACTAGCCATTAAATTTGTAGAACGGAATTTACTATTGCCAGAAAAGCTTGCATCCCACCGCTGCACAAGTGCTAACCTCGCCATTTCTAACAGACCCTTTGGAGGAGCAGACAATGTTTCGAGGGAAAGGGTAAACATGCATTTTGGTTCGAGAAGTCTCTCTTTCTCTCTCTAATGAAATGGTCTATACAGGGCTTGCATTGACGGCACATCAGCCACCATTGCTCCATACCATGCTCCTCTGCCCATACCGTCTGCAGCATACATTTGGCAACAACGAATGGGTTCTTCTCAACAAGGGCTTGCCGAGAACATATTCCACGAAATGTATGGTGGCTGGTACGGTGCCCTACGACATCACGTCGAGATTTTAGCAAGTTAGTTGGTCTCATTTTTTTTACAAAACGAGAACTAAGCTTTGACATTTTATAAGGTAAAATGCACCACCTCAATGCACATTCGTGGAAAGTTTGAGGTTTTTCAGTGAGGACAATGATTTTCTGACTCGTTTTAGAGGAAGATCAACTGGTCGAATCCTATATATGCGGGGTTATCAATGCCTGCCGTATAGACCTTTTCACCCTCCGCCGCATGGGCGCTGCCATCTTGGAATCACGTGATGCGGCCGCCATTAGGTTGCTTCAACTTGTTGCTCCGCTCTCCCGTCCGTGCCTTGGCGGATGCGTTGAATTCGTGTTTTTCGTCGCGTTTCACCGCGTCTCTTGCCTTACTCCGTAAAGTGTCGTCCGATACTTACACTTACCATGCAATTCCATTACATCATTATGTGCGCAACTTCTGTAGTTAATTTTGTAACACGTTATGAAAATATTTTTCACCGTCGGCGTGCGGGATACGTGTGAAAAGGTTTTATAGGAACAGGAATCAGCGTTAGCACTTGCGCACATTGAATGCATATATGACTTGAAGAAGGCCTTGAGGGTTCAAATACCAATAACTTATGAGAACTGAGGTTTGGTTACTAATAACGGCAGAACATTTGCAGTAGGAAGCCCACTGTTATTATATATATGAGTGCGCATGGGTGTCAAGGAAGGAAACAAAAACACTCAGCGTAATTAGCCACTTGTTTTTCCTGAAAGCATGGTGTTTTGTAGTTACGACAGATCGAAAAAGTTTATTTTGATTACACTAGGGAACTTGTGGACAAGACGCGGGAACAAACGTTTAGTTTGAATTATTTTTTATGCTAGAAATAATGGTACCTTAACATTAGGCAACTTGTTTGTTCGCATTATCACACCTATATATGTTTTACGTTCTTAATCGCGTGTGCGATAAAAGCATTCGCTTTATCGGTTTATTTATGAATTCCACAGAATTGTATATCGTGCTTGGTCCCATGTCCATAGTCTTTCAGTTGCTTAAGCCATTTTTTTATATAACCATGCAGATTCAATTAATCTGTTTCGACACAAATATTTGGACTCCCCGCGTAAGAAACTGTCACAGGCAGCTTGATAGTGCCTATGATTCTCAAAATGTGACGCCGAAAAGAATCCTTCAGCATGAAAATCACCCGAGTGTAGCCGGTTGTCGACGGCGAATAGGGAGTTACTTTCAGTAGCTGGCGACGTCAAAATGTGCAAAGCGCATTGTTTCAAATCAGTGAACCGCTTTCTACACAGGTCCATTGGGTGGCGCCTGGCGTTCAACTTCAGCCAAACTTATCGGAAATCATTTCTTTTGCGCTCTTCAATTTCAATCGGCAAATTTTACGGAAGATGGATATCAGACTTTATTTGAAGTCTGGCATTCACTTATCTCACCATTCTCATACCTGGAGAACGTCGTAAGCAAATGTTCATATAACAACAAGTTTATTTCATAAAGCCAATATTTTGAAATGCTGTTAATGAGTACTTTAGTTAAAGAAATTTTCTAGTCAGCCTAGGCTGGTCTATCAAAATATCTCTCGAGCGCTTAATTTCTTTAAATAAAACAGGCCGAGACAACAAACGTTTTTATATTATCTACGTGATTATATGGAACTTTTCTAGTCATTATAAAAGACATTTCCAGTCTCGAAGTTAGAAAAGGTTGGTGCACGGAAACCAAACATCGAACAGTAAACTTGTTAGTTCATCTGTTTTTGGTGATTCAGCAGAATGTTAACCATGTTATCGACCTGCTTTTTCACTAAGCACTCATGAAATATAGTGTGTTGGAATATAAGGTTAGCACTAGCACCTCTGACTTGAGCGCGAGCTATCTACCTTCCGTACCGCTCGGTTCACGCACAGCCAAAGCCCGCCTGCAGGTATACGAAGTGCGTGCTACTGGAGGCGGAGCGTGTCCTGTTATTTATTTATTTATTCTTCTGGAAACAAGATTCCGCGGATACGGCCGTGGGCGATGGTACTCCTCCCTGTGCACCAAGTTGTTTCACCGCCGGAAACCTGGCCGAAATTAACGATGGACGTAATCAGACGCATCTGGTGTTCGTGAAAGTGCTCGCCGATTTAGGCTGAAACCACTTGGTGGTTCGCCAAGTGGCTCAATACCATTGTTTCATTCGCTGTGTGCTCAAAGAAAGAAATTTATATCGCAAAATCAATCGAAAGTGGCATGAAACAGCATCACACTCGCGTGCACGTTGAAACCGAAACCGAACAAATTGAAGCAACCTAATGGCAGCGAGTGCACCGGCGCCCTCTACCCGTCGGTCAGGGAACTACTGAAATGAAAAGGTCTATAAATATACAAGTGCGGCTTATACAAAGGTGCATTTTTGTGGAAATGGCCGGTTACACAGGGAAAATACGCTAACCACTCCTGCGACTCCCTGGCAGCTCCAATGTATGGGAGACTACGTATGCAGTTTGGCAAGTGTCACACCACAGACACTGCCCTTAAATCTTGAACAACGGAAAGATTTGCTAGCAGTTGTAGAAACGCTCCCTTCCCGCTCATTCACGCTGGAAGCGGATCCGCGTTCGCAAAGCGGTTGCGAACGCGGTTGTATAAAGATCCAGTACAATTGCACGCGCACTTGATGTCATCGAGTGCGCGTGCAATTGCACTGGATCTTTATACAACCGCGCTCGCAACCGCTTTGCGAACGCGGATCCGCTTCCAGTGTGAATGAGCGGTTACTGTGCTTCCTTCTTCGCCTCAGGTAGATCGCGCAATTCATTTGGTTCTACCCGGGCAAAGGTAATTGTAACTACAGTATTTACTTTGGCAGACTCACGCGACCATAAATATTGGTAGTACAAAGAAACAGACAAGGTCTTTCGCTACGCGAAGCAAGATTAAATGACAGCTCTCGAAGTCGGCGACTAAGCGGTCAGCATATCGACCACAGTCGCGTGCTTCGTGTTGTTCCGCGACATGTCTCGCGAAGAGTTTGGAAGAGGTAATTATTTTCAGACCTGGGTTTAAGCTGTGGGTCCCTTTGTTGAAGGCACTTGAATTTTTCGTTCCGATTCTCTTCGGCTTGCCCATCTTGAAAGGAATCGCACGTAGCACACGTGCTACGGTAGCAGATACAGCGGTTGCAGAGCAGATGGAGCAGACACCAAACACAAATCCACGAGCGACGGCTCGCAGCAGTCACGCAGCAATCATGATAAGTGCGGCGATTGCAGCGACAACACGATATTCGTCAATTATGCCAAAAATTAAAGCAATATTCTGTTTAAACTTTATTGCGTTGGAATGCAGTAACATTTTTTGTCATTATAGTATTTTTTCTCGGCAACATTCAAGCATAGAGTATGCATTAAAGTGATTGACATTGAAAAGTGGCGACCGTAATTTAAACTACTTGGGCTACCACAAGTTGGCACTGCTAGTGCTAGCGATTACAATATAAAACATAAAATATAATAAAATAGTATAAAAATCATTCACAAAACAATGTAATATTTTATTATTTTTATATTGTACAATTTATAATTTCAATTATAACTGTTATCAAGGAATCACATTAAGCGCATGGTAAAACATCGCTGGTGACACCAGTGCTACAGCAGTGTGCGGAGGCAAAATTTATGTGTGGGGTTCGGGAGTGGTTCCACTAAAGCCTAAAATTTGTAGCCTATCTTAGCGCCGCAGCCGCCGCAGCGAATACACTTTCTCCTCTTTCTCATCTGGACGCCATTCGTGTGAGCTGTCTACAGGTATGCCTCTTGGAACATTCATTATTGTTTTGTAACGTCTGACCCCATCATCAAAGCTTCAGTTAAGTGATTTGACTGCGGAATCTTTACAGATTAGCCGATCATGCAGAACGAAGCCGGAGAATACGTGGATCTCTACATCCCGCGCAAGTGGTAACTGCACGTGGTTCCTTCTGGACGTTGTACTCCTGACCGGTTCCCAGCCCGAGTGGATTATCGAAAATTACTGCGCTGTCACTAATAACGTCCGCGTTTCGTTTCAGCTCGACGAGCAACCGCATCATCCATGCGAAGGACCACGCATCTATCCAGATCAACCTGGCCATTGTGCGTATTTTTGGCACTCGACTGATAGTTGCTGGCTAGGTGGTTCGAGCCGAGCGCAATCATTCATACTTCGGTGGCTAAATTTGTACCCTGCGCAGGTGGACGAGCAGAGTGGCCGTGCAACAGGCGAGACCAAGCCATATGCCATCTGCGGAGCCATCCGACGAATGGTGAGCTGCCCATCCCTGTTTTCGACGAAGAGACTGACGTCTCTTTGTGGCTAGTCGCAAAACAGCTTGAACATGGCGTTGAGTTACGCACTCTCCCATTTCATTCTACTTAAGTACATATTTGCTGGGTTCAGTCAAAAAGTTTTTCTCAACAGGACATATAGTCGCTGACAGGTTTAGAGTTAAGTGGAGGCTCCGGCACAACATAGCTACGAAAGCCAGAACGATGCCGTCCAACAGTTAATGGACCTTTTGGCGAATATGTGCTGCCACCTAGAAAAGCGACTGGGTTCGAGACTAAGTGGCTAGCAAACAACGCCCGTGCTAGGCCCCTCCCACCCGTTCCACACCCAAAACGTCAGCCACATCCTTTTCGCCCATTGAGCCGCTGTGACCTAGATATGGCTCCCCCAAACTTGCATTTGTCCCCATCGTGGGTTATCTTCTGCCCCCAAGTCGACACAAAGAAACCATCTTCCCTTTCTGCTCGGCCAGAGGGAAGAATGAGGGTACTAGAACCATTTACTCTCGAACCAATGTTTCTACAAAAGGTCTATTGGGTGAAGTAACAGAGTTGAGCTGGTTTGTATTCGGCGGCAGGTTAAAGGGGCACTAAAGTGCTTTTTGGGGTCCTCGCTTTGTTGTCGTAACTCAATCTATGAGCATTAACCATCCTAATAAACCAGGAATTACATTCACGCATGGCCGTTTTGCGTATTTAAAAAGTGGTCAAAGTTCCCGACATTTACCGTTGGCACTGAACAATGGATGGCTATACTGAAACCTTGCTGAACATGGTTGAAGGACGTACGGCGCTTGTCAGCCAATTGCAAGAGAGGGTGGTTGAGCTGCCGGCCAGTCCCGCGCGTCAACACGGGAACTCATCGCTTTCTTTTTGTTCCTAGTGTCTTGACTAGTATCATTCCTGTGCCATCTGTGCCTGTTGCCTTTGCAGCAGTTACTTTGCTTTCTGCTCTATCTCTTTCCATGGTCGTCCGAGTTGTCTTGTGTCGTGTTGCTACTTGTGTTATGTGCAGTCTCGTTTGGTTCAAGTTCTGCGAATGTTGCCTCGATCGTTTGTCTAATAAATTTCCTGACCTCCTCGCCCTCTACACTTATCCTTATCCCCACGTGTATGTTTCAGGAACAATGGAACCCTTCTGTTTTTCTTCCCTGTGCAGTAATCTGCTCCCAGAACTTTTTTGCTGCATTCCCATCATTTTGATTTACCTCCATTATCCACTGCACTTCAGCTGTACCAATCTTGGCCTGGATTAGAGCGGATGCCTTTTTTTTTCTTTCCTGGAATGTATTCCATTTCAAAGCTACCTCAGCGGGTGTGTCCCCCCTTTCCTTCGCCTCATCTCGCCCTGCTATTCCTACCTTAATTTCACTATCCCACCAGCTTTGTTGGGCGTCGTTTAGGGTCTATATACTTCCTTGTTCAAGAATTTGTGTCTCTAGTAAAACCCCCCTGCCTTGCCCAGTGGGAGTTTTACGAATTTGAAAGTCCACAGGTTGACAGGTAAGCTCGTATGCTCCACCTTAGCTGGTAGATGCTCTTCCAAGTGGCCTGCCCATCGCCCTGTTGCTTGACAGGGCACATAAGACCGTCTGGGTGGACAATGGACTTCTTCCAGTACCGACGCGCCCCATTGCGGCGAAATACCACGGAGTGCGCTCTGGGAACTAGTTGGTCACTCAGTTTTGGCTTCGATTGAGCAGCTTCACCTCATGCTATCACGCCGTGACCGAACGCGCTGCTTGCGTTTTCGATTATCTGATGTTTCACGAACATACAATGCACTCATTCTTGAGCGATTCAAAACGAAGACCGGGGCACTTTCCTTGGTTCCCGAAACACCAAATATTGTGCGTGCATATGCAAACGTATTGTGGCTTAGTCACCTCACCCCACGAGTGCATGTTAGAGCTCCATTTCAATAATCCTGTCTAGTACCAGTGAACTAAAATTGAAATTTGTTCATCTGGAGCCTTACGCATATTTTGTTTGCCAAACGTCCGCTTCTTGTTACTTTATTGGGCGAAAAGCAAGCGCATCCTCACAGGGTATCAAAGTTGAACCCAGCGTTTACGCATGAACTTTTAAGGAAATGTAATAAATTCGACCTCACTACTGCACAGAAGTTACTATGATGTCTTCCTCGTGTCATCATATATCTCCCACTCAAATTTTATGCTGATAGAAGATTAACTTTTCACAAACGCTGAGATCGGCTAGCTACGACGGAGGCCCTAACAAGTGTCCCCTACTCCTCGCTAAGCCTTTTTGGACGAGCTTTTACTGACGCCCGAGATCTGTGCCTAAACGGTGTGTCTGAAATTATCTCGGCGTACTCAGGTGGGCAGAAAGCAAACACATAACAAATATTATGGCCATTAGCAGCCATCAAACACGCTTTGAATTCGTTCGTTTGGCGCACCCGTCCGGCGCACTTCCGGCGAACGGTACGACATTCTTCACACAAGTGCTCGACTTTTGCTTTCTTAAAACAATCTGTATGTGCGAATTTGCCTATATGATTGCAGGATAACTTTATGCGTGTACGCGATGTTGAATATTAGTGGAATGCAAGCGGGTTGGGACTTCACTTCGTGCAGTGCTGCGGGTCAGTACAGATAAGAGGTAAGAAGTGTGTTAAAATTGAGCTTTCAACGGCGCCTCCTAGTTTTACCTCGCATACTCAGACATATTAAGAAAAATAGTAATTGCAAAAAGTAATATTTCATCTATGGACGCAAGAAACAAACAAACTGCCTGATCAACAACACTAATGTAAAGGCCCGAGCTCGGTGTATGCATGTTGCTACAGTTTGTTGATTCGTACACAAGCAAGATCCCCAAGCTTCGCAGCGTCGAGATGCTCAGCACTGGCTCATCCACATACCTCTGTTGGAACGCTAACAGGAAGGCTCAAGTACAAAAATACAGCAAGCATGTGTTAAGACAAGCTGTACGTCTCAGGCTTGTGCTAAAGCTTCGAGGTCTGGCCATTTAGGTTAGTTTAGAGACCACAAACGACGCTTTCGAGACCAGGAAATATGAGATAACGGCTGTTAATAGTCCACGCTCTGTGTATAATCTCTTGTCGACGTGTCGATCGAAACCGAAACCATGCCACCCTCCTTCCTGGCCAACTAGTTCCCAGGGTGCAACGCGCGCTGTGCTGCATGCAGGACTTTATGGAAGTAGTCTATTAGCACAACAACTGACGCGGCCAACTATCCCGCCAAATATTCGAAAGAAAGCCCTGTCACGTGAAATTGCAGGAAAAGAACTATAAACTAGGGTTACTTACTGTCCCTGACATTATTTCTGTATTTACTATCCTATACACACAAAATCGCGTGAGAAACAAAGAGAAAAACAAATTACACTGGGTATTTGGGGAGCTTCCAAGAACCCATACAAACCATTTTTAAAGCCCTAGTTGCCCGGGTTGAACCGGTTTTTGGCCAAATATAGAAACTTGCCGTCCCTTTCGTGCCATCTTTTGACGGCAAGCAACACTAAACACACATTGACTAGCTCCTTTCATCTTTGGCATTGGATGTGCGATTTATTTTCCGTGGGCCTCACGCGAATCTGGTTTCTGCGCTCGCGCAGTGCCCACGCCTGGTGTGGGCAAACGCGGGCTTGTTTGTAAACAGTGTGTCGGTCTATAGGCGGAACACTGTGTCAATAAATGTTCCCCAGGATTTCCTTCACAGGGCAGTTGATCATGTAGTGCAACGATTGCCGCACCTAATTAAGAATCCGGATGCATGCATGAAAATTTTGTGTGCCGCAATTATTGTTTCAAATGATGGGGACAGCGCACACAAGACTACCACAAACGAAAGGAGCACTATCACATAGTGCTGACTCTCAACTGGGAGTATGTGTTCCTTCTGTGATTGTCTCGCGTGCGCTTTTCTAATCGTTTGCAAGTGTGTTCGACAAACTAGCCTGAGCTTCGGTCCTCACAAATATTCCTATATGCTCAGAAACAAAACACCTACAATCTTTGTGCTAGTCTATTAAAATTTGGTGTAATTGTAGCCGTTCAAAAGCAGCTAGTGAGCTCCCGCCAAACTTGTGTAACTTATTAGTGAACCCTCAAACAATTCCTTTGTAGTAGACTGTTGGTCGACCCTGAGACTGACTGGTTTGCCATCGTTGGATTGTGTCCGAACAAACTAAGGTGCTGGTGTGTTCGGAAAGCTATCAAGGGGAGATTATTGGCACTAAACTGGCTCAGATCGTGCTTTTTTTTTTTTTTTTAATGATGCAGGGAGAGTCTGATGACTGCATCACCCGCTTGGCAAAGGATGATGGCTACATCCCTAAGTAGGTCCAGTTCTGCTTGTTCCGAGAGGTGTTTTAAATGTGATGCACATTAACGCTTCTTGTTTTTCTTTTTCTGCAGGGACTTCTAGCGGCAGTCTTGAAATAAAGCAATGAAAACGGCACTCCGAGGTTCTTGGGTCTTTTTCTTTTCTTGGTGGAAAAAGACCTAAGGTAGGTCTTTTTCCCATGGTCCCCATGGTCACAGCCCTATTACCCGGTTATCCGTCGACCGACCTGCTTTTATTGCGGGATAGCTGGCCATATTGCCCGTTTCTGTCGCCGCCGCCTATCGGATATTTCAAGAAGGACTCCCGATTTCCGCCGGCCCACCTTCTATGGCACGAACCAACCGCCCTCTTACAACGAATACAACGACGACCTCCCACACAGGTACCAACGACGATCGGTATCACCCTCCAGTCGCAATGCTCGAGACCGAAGCCCTTCTCCCGGATACCGACGCCGCTCTCCTTTACGCACTGACCAGACCTTCCCCAAGTCGTTCGTCGATGGGGAAAACTAGTAGAGGCAGCGAAAGGGGGTCCAGCTGCTTCTGTTTTTCCTCGACATCCCCCACCGACTCCGCCAACATTCAACTTATTAGACGTTTTCATTAAGAAGGTAAGATTCAAGGCACTTGTTGACACTGGAGCATCCATTTCAATCATTCGTGAAGATGTACGCAAAATGTTTAGACTTGTTTGTACTCCTTGGAACGGTGGCACTCTTCGCAGTGCGAATGCGACTTTACTTAATCCTCTTGGTATCGTTTCCGTCGAACTCACCATTCAAAATGAACCTCACAGGCATTGCTTTGTTATCCTTCCTAACTGCACCCATGACATCATTTTAGGATGGGACTTCTTAGCCACTCGACGCGCCCTTATAGATTGCGCGACTAAATCGATTTATTTCAGCGATCCAATACCTTACTCCCAACCATTTTCTCGCCCATTCGTTAATTTTCGTGCAACGTCTCATACTCTTATTCCACCATTAACTGCAGCACTCATCGAATTAGAAGCCGACGTCAATGACTCTACATATTTGCTCGAACCAAACAGAGAAGTTTTGTTGCAGAAAGGTCTAGCTTTGCCTACCGTACTCGCACAGTCACAAAATAATCGAACCACTGTTTGGCTAGCAAATATTACTGAAATTTGCCAAGTTCTACCAGCTGGAACCTGCGTTTCAAGAACAAGTTTGAATGATCTCTTATACATCGACGCTGTCACTGATGAAAAGATGAAGTCTCACTCCTCTCACCGCGATCAGAAAGCGTTAAGTTTACTTCAGAAAACTATTAACACTCGTCTTCCACGTCATCAACAGGATGCGCTCTACAATCTACTTTGTTCTTTCGTGGATGTCTTTGATATCAGTTATCCTCACTTAGGTCAAACTTCTGTTGTCCGACATACGATCGACACCAGCGATCATAGACCACTACGTAGTCGCCCTTATCGTGTCTCTTCCTCTGAAAGACTCATTATACAAAAACACGTAAGCAAGATGTTGCAAGAAAATATAATTGAGGAATCCTCGAGCCCATGGTCTTCCCCTGTAGTGCTTGTCAAGAAAAAAGACGGTACATGGCGATTGTGTTGATTACAGACGTCTAAACAAAATAACAAAACGAGACGTTTACCCTCTTCCTCGAATCGATGATGCTCTTGATCGTTTACATGATGCCAACTATTTTTCCTCAATAGACATGCATACCGGATACTGGCAGATCACTGTAGATGAAAAAGACAAAGAAAAAACAGCTTTCGTAACTCCCGATGGTCTTTACCAGTTCCGAGTAATGCCCTTTGGCCTGTGCAATGCGCCCGCCACGTTTGAGCGGATGATGGACACTTTACTTCGCGGCATACGCTGGACAGCTTGTCTATGTTATCTTGACGATGTTGTAGTTTTCGCATCTACCTTTGAACAACATCTCTCCCGCCTTACTTTGGTCTTGAGATGCTTTCGTAAAGCAGGTCTACAACTCAACGTAAAGAAATGCGCCTTCGGTAATACGGAAATCCAAATCCTTGGCCATGTAGTCAGCCGTCAGGGAATATCCCCCGATCCAGAAAAGCTCCTGGCTGTCACAAATTTTCCTCGCCCTGCACATTTAAAAGCTTTGCGCTCTTTCCTTGGCCTGTGCTCTTATTTTCGACGTTTCATTCGCGGCTTTGCTGATTTATCCGAACCGTTGCAGCGCCTCCTCAAAAAGAATGTCCCTTTCGTGTGGTCCCAAGACCAAGAGCAGGCGTTTCTTTCCCTCAAAGCGGCACTAACAACACAGCCTGTCCTGGCTCACTTTGACCCGTCTCGTGAGGTTGAAATTCACACCGATGCTAGCGGCTACGGAGTTGGTGCCATCCTCATTCAAATCTGTGACTCAAAGGAACATGTTGTCGCGTACGCCAGCCGGTCGCTATCAAAATCTGAAATGAATTATGGAATTACAGAAAAAGAATGTCTCGCCGTGATTTGGGCAATACAAAAGTTTCGGCCTTATGTATTCGGGCGACCATTTAAAGTTATCACTGACCACCACGCCTTGTGCTGGCTATCGAATCTAAAAGACCCTTCCGGAAGACTCGGACGCTGGGCGCTAAAGCTTCAGGAGTACGACATTTCTATATTTTATAAATCTGGCAAAAAACACGAAGCCCCAGATTGTCTGTCGAGAAATCCTGTTTCTACGGCACATGCGACACATCATAATCCACCAATCGCGGCAATCTCCTTGACGTCCACATTAGATTTTGCTTCTGAACAGCGAAGAGATTCGCACTTACAACAGGTCTTCAAATGCCTAAAAAAGGCTCATCTTACACGCCAAGAACAGCGTTTGAGCAGTCTTTATACACTGAAAGAAGGCATACTTTATCGTCGTAACTATAACCCCGAGGGGCCTGAATTACTCTTTGTTGTTCCCAAACACCTCCGGACGAATATTTTGCGCGTTCTACATGATGACCCTACAGCTGGACATATGGGATTTTTTAAAACATACATGCGCGTTCGAAACACATTTTACTGGAAAGGAATGTACCGCGACATTTTTAAGTATGTCACATCCTGCCTACAATGACAGCAACGTAAAAAACCAACCCAAGCACCAGCTGGACTCCTGCAACCTCTTACACCACCGCGTTATCAATTCGAACGAGTCGGAATTGATCTCCTGGGACCACTTCCCGCCACTCAAGCTGGTCACCGCTGGATTATTGTGGCAATGGACCATTTATCTCGTTATGCAGAGACTTTCGCTCTCCGCACCGCAGACGCTGAGGACGTTGCTGCTTTTCTTTTAAAACAAGTAATTCTCCGCCACGGCCCTCCCAGGCACCTTATCAGTGACCGTGGAACAGTCTTCCTCTCCCGCGTCATTCAGGAGCTTCTACATCTGTGCCAAACTGTACACAAACCAACGACAGCGTATCATCCCCAAACGAATGGCATGGTTGAACGTTTTAATAGAACAATCGTTGATATGTTGTCTATGTATCTACAGTCAGACCAACAACAATGGGATTCTGTGCTTCCTTTTGTGACCTACGCGTATAACACTGCAATCCAAGATACACAAGGCTATTCTCCATTTTTCCTTCTGCACAATCGTTTTCCAACGACTTTTCTCGACAACCTTCTGCCATATAATGCTACCGAACAAAAACTCCAACCATCAGTTGCACAACTTGTCTGCCGCGCCGAAGAAGCTCGTCAAATAGCACGATTACGCACAGCCTCTTCTCAACAACGCCAACGTCAACGCTATGACCAGAGCCATCGCGCGGTTTCCTATGCTATTGGAGATCTCGTCTGGGTTTGGACACCAACTCGGCACCAAGGCAAGTGTACCAAGCTTCTTCACCGGTACACCGGGCCCTTCCGCGTCACTCGACGGTTATCAGACCTCACATATCAAGTGACGCTCCACGAACCAACGGCTGACCTTCGCCGGACTTCCACCGACAACGTACATGTCGCCCGCATGAAACCCTACTTGCAACCATTCACACCATAACAGACCCTACTCTGCACTCCCGGTCGGGACGACCGCCGCCACACCGGGGGGGTAATGTTACGAAGAAGACGACGATGACCGTCTTTATCGGGCCGCTGGCGGTGGGGCTCGCTCCAGCGCGAGCTGGAGCGGGCAGTTCGATTAAAAGATCGAGGCTGAAACGGACCGCTCTTGTCCTTGCTCTTGATTTCCATCGTAACAATATTATCAAACGAATTTACGACGAAGAAAAAAAATTTAAGGGCCATATTTACGGCGCAAAACGAATTTGTAGTTGGCGCCCGCGGGAGTCGCCGCTGGTCACGTGGTAGGCCGCCGGCACGCTGAGCGTTGTGCGACGCCGCTCCACGCTGCCGTCGCCGCACAAGTTCGTCTGCTTCGGGGCGCTGCCGCCGTCATCTGACCGGCGCATAGGTCTATTACGTTTGCTTGCGCTTTTTCAGGAGTTTCCTTTGGACTCTAAAAGTTGCTTATTAATCTTAGTTTTTTGTTGTACTTGAAATTAAGATGAACAAGTTACTTTTAGAGGCCATTAGCCCCGAGAAGTTCGCGTGGCGCCCCTTGCGTCGAACCGGGGTGACGTCACGGTGAGGACAGAATTTTTCCCCTACTCGCCCCGCTCGCCCTGTGGAGGTTGTCCCGATGTCTGCTGTCAGCGTGGTCGTTTCGATTTAAATTTTTTTTTTGTGCGTGTATTTTGTAGGAGATGTAAATTTGAATACGTGGCTTTATTAATTTATAGCCTGCAGCTGCAGGAGAAACTTCAACCAACATTTCAGGCCTGGTTGACAGCGCAGGCAACACACAAATCGCAGCTGGTGGATGAAAAAAAAAAAAAAAAATGGCCACAACTGCAGGAGCATCACTATGGATTTACATCTCGCACAATTAATGCTGCTGATGGTCTGAAGGAATTGGCAAGTTATGTATACTATTTCGTTTTTTTTTTCTTCTGTTTTTTCAACAAAAACGCCTAAGCAGAAAAGCTGCATGCTGTGCTCCAGCCACATGTTAAATACAGTCAGGGCCATGGAGAGAATCACCAATGAGACAGCCCAAGTACAGGGGCAAAGTAAACAAAGAAGGAACAGTTAT